AAAGGGAACGTAACTATTTAGAAATAGACATAGTAATATAATATATAGTACCTATATACAATAACAAAAAACATCTCAATTATTATTAGATGTTATCAAAGTGACCTAAATATTTATTTTTCACTCTTGTCTAAATTTTAGTAGAATAAGCTTAAAACAAATAATATAGGACAAACTGTCACCTATATAGGACAGTGGCAGTAGTAAATAAATGTTTTAAGTGTTATTTTAATATAACTTTTAAAGTGTGTAACGAAGCGTGTAGAAATATGTCATTTACTACTTATTGTACATTTTAAAACTAACGTTTTAGTATTCTACATAGAAATGAAAATAGCATTATATCTGCACAATTTTTTTGATTTCACCAAATAATGTAAAAAAATGTTAGAACGAAGTTCTTTATCGCGCTTTACATGCTCTGAGTGGATGGGAGCGAGACTTTTTCCGACACTAATAGAAATTAGAATGACTTTATAGCAAACGTCTACCAAAAAGCGAAAGGAACTTTGAAATGAGCAACAAGTGATGCGAAAAAAAAGATAAAAATCATCTCAATCAATCATCGGGTTGTACAGCGTGTCAAAATTTGAGCTCAATTGGTGCTTCTGCATTTTTGAGTTTTTGAAGTACGAAGTAAGTTTTTACACAACACAATATATATATATACTATTTTTAAATTTAAAATCATAATTTTCAAAGAAAAATATCTTTGTAGATTAGAACGGCTCCATTAGCAATTCGAATGTTAACCGAATAATGCTGGTAAGCATCCTTTGATAAAGACATATCTTGACTTTGGTAAAAAGATAATCACCGATTGAAGAAGATTGAAGTCACTCTGTTATTACTTTGCAATTGTTTTATTGGCAATATTATACGTAGTTTAGTAGTACTATTTACTTTTATTTACAATTATTTGTATGGACGACATTCATTTCACATTTGCCATTCAACGTGTTTTGTAGTGGGCAGAAGCAGGTGGCTGCGCCCACGCATGGTCCAGGGCCGTGTGCACACCTTGCGTCAGCGCTACAACCTTCCGATGACGTCAGCCATACGGAACCTATCGTCATTTACATAACAAATGTTTCAAATTTTATTATTGTGGTTAGTTGTAGTAGTTCATGCCAATATTCTATTTTATCTATGTTATACGTTGTATAAAATTAAACGCGTTGATCTTGGGATTATCTGTGTGGTTTAAAAAAATGTTTGCATTATAAAGAGCGTTTATGGATGATGTTTGTGGGCAAAAAAAAACCCGAATGAAACGGTGCTGCTAGCTACTTCTTAAATTAAGTTATAACAACCATGTAAATTGTATCGCAAACAATTTCAATGATACGTTTGATAAGTTATCACTCCGATTACTTTTTGTTTCGATAGAAACTAATTGAGGTGTTACAATTTATTTTCATCTTATATCATTCATCAATATATGGAAACTGGTGTTAAATATTATAAACAATACATAGAGTAGATGTGACATCTCGACTGTATCCATCAGTCGCTTGCGTCTGCCTATCTCTACGCTGACATTTTGATTGACGTGCTACGTTACGCTACGCGCCACACACATGTGACTAACTTACCGCATCATTTTATTTCAACGTAGTTTTTAGCTTTTCAAATTTCTTACTAACATCAAAGGAGTAATCCTTGACCTATATCAAACTCAAAAATATATTTGATAAATATTACTCATACTTCTACCTATCTACTACACGTTGTCTTTATCGTTAGGCTCAACGTTTTAATGATGTCATAAACTAATCTCACGAGCCCTTTTAATAAAATGTGATATCATTGAAACACGACTGAAAAGTATGATATCATTAAAACATTTTTAGACGGAAGTAAGCACATTTTTAAATAAGTTTATAGCTATAAAAACATACAAGAATGACGTGAACGTACCATTCTAGAAAATCAATGACTACCCAATGACCGATTGACTGAGTAACTGAGTAGTGTTGTGTGGTACTAATGATACAACTGCGCGTGGGAAGCGACTACACGGGACACATCACTGTGCGTTGGCTGCCGCTGCGGCTGCACATACAATACAACATTCCTTTTCAAATATTACATTAGTGTTTACATCTCATGTGTGCTCAACATCTTCGAACTGGTCGCGATTGTGTTCATCCTTTTAAGTTGTTATTGGTGTGTCCAAAAATTTACTAACTTCGTTTTACATAAACAAAACAGAATAAATCGGAATAGAGTTTAAACTTTTATGCGAGATAAAATTGTGTTACTACGTGGGAGTAACTAGAATGCACAACAATTATATTTTGAGTTCAGTCGCCAAGTCTTTTGTAATAGGAGCGGTAGGCATTAAAACATTTCCGAACTATGATCATTTTGTGATCGCTGTTTGTTTGTGTGAATTCTGTTATATTAACAAAGGCCAATGTTCATCTGCCCTTATAACTTCAACGATTCTGTAATGAATCATCTTGCGCACGTGCGGCAGTTTGTTTACAAAATTTTGTTTTGTAACACCGACGTAAAATGCGTAACAGGCATTTATACTCTTATTAATTTACTTTTGTTTAGCGATTTAAATGATAACATTCATATTTGTTATGAAACAAACAATCACATGTCTAGATGATTTAATATCGGCAGGTTATGAACATTCTTAATTTTTTTTTTAATTTAATTAACTACATACTAAATATTCATAATAAAATATCTAAATAATTTTTGCTTGAACACAAAACTGAAGTCGATTTTGTTTAAAAGCTACTCAACGCCCTTTTAAGTCATAAATAACTACTGTTTTTTTAAGAGACAACTCCCCGAACTAGGAATAAATCCTGTGTCGCGGGGGACTTTACAAACATACATGAAACGGACACAAAGTACACCCAGACTCAGAACAACAATTTGTGGATCACACAAAGTGTTGTTGTCCCATGTGGGGTTTGAACCCACAACACTCACACACGTAATAGGAAGCAGCGTGGCGACCGCTTAAACCACTACGCCATCCGTGCAGTCCGTGTTTAATCTGTTTATGCTGTTTAGGATAAAGCTTAGTTAGTCAAATTACTGGTCATGAAAGTTTTATACACATATGTTTTTATATATTTAATTTTTATATTACGATTTACTGTCATTTTACCTTTTTTTTTTCGTGCGGAAATCCCCTCGGATACCACCTATCGGTGGCATGTCGGACTCGAACCGACTAAAACCGCACGCCGTCTCGGGTACTAATAGCCGGGGTACCAGGTATACCCTAGAAAGGAAGTCCCTGGTGCCCCGACATACCTCGGGCCATCTACAGACGAGTAGACGACCCCCCCCCCTCGTGTGGGAACCCCATGTTCCCTCTGCTCCTTGGAAGCGAGCGCGCTTCGCAACGCGCTCGCCGCCACCCCGGCCTGGGGTGACAGATGACCTCATCTGTCACCCCCAGGCCTGCGCTTATGGAGGACGGAGGTCGTTCTGCGACCTCCGGCGCCTGAGTCGCCTGCGGTACCTGGCCCGTTCCCGGGCCTGTCGGGCCGGGAGAGTTCGAAACCTCTCCCGGTCCCGCTCCGCCGTCTCCTTCGCGAGCATAACTTGCTCGCAGAAGGCGACGGCAGAGTTCCACGCACTCTCGCTCCGCACGATAGCCGCAATCAGGCTATCGAGCGAGAGAACTCCCACTCCGATGGCCGCCACGAGGTCTCGCCTCTGCTCAACCCACGCCGGGCACTCTGCCAGCGTGTGGAGAGCCGTGTCCACGGTCTGGCCACCGCAGTGGTGGCACTCAGGCGTTGGCTCCTTGTGGATCACACACAGGTGATCCCCGAAACATCCTTTCCCAGTGATTACCTGCGTCAGTCGGTATGAGAGGGTCCCGTGACGCCTCTCGAGCCAATCCTCCATAACGGGTCTTACCGCCGCGATGACTGCGTGCCCGGCGCTCGGTTGCCCGAGTCGTTCCCTCCACTCCCTTATGATGAATCAATTTCTCGAATCTCAGGACACCGACCCAACTCTCGCGCCTCCTTGCGCCACTGATACAGAGCCGCAAGGGCTCTCGCCTCCAGGCCCCACGGTGGAGTTCCGGCCAGGAGACTCGCCGCCTCAAAGGAGATCGTGCGGTACCCCCTTATGATCCTGATTGCCAGCACTCGCTGCGGTCGTCGCAGTATCGCGACGTTGCTGGCCTTCAGGGCCCCCGCCCATACTGGGCACCCGTAAAGGGCCATGGACCGCACAACCCCCGAGTAGAGTCTCCTGCAGGAGTCATCGGGTCCCTTAATGTTGGGCAGCAGCCGCGCCAACGCACGCGCCGCCCCAACCAACTTGGGGACCAGACCTCGGAAATGATATCCGAAGTCCCATCGGACTGTCATTTTACCTGTATCATTTTCACGTATATCTAATGATCTTGGGTCCATGGTACATGGGGATGGCAAAAGTTACATAAATAGGTACACTGATGACTATCGTATCGACTAGAACGGGAAAGGTCATAATCACGAAGTTAAAATATTTGAATTGTAATAATATTGATATTATTGTAATAATCAGAAAGCTGTCTGCTTACACATTTATTATATCAAAATTGAAACTGAGACTTTACGTCTTTTTTATAATTCTCCATTTGTTTACCTTACTTTTAGTTATATTGTACGTGACTCATAAACAGATGTTTTATTTTGAGCTCGTATTTTCTTTTCCTCGTATATCCAGCTTTATGAGAGTTTTAAACATTACATAATACATCCATCTTGCCCGCGCCAATAGAAACAGTTAAAGATTTACGCGTTTACAGATTTCTCACGGATTTGTTACCATAATGCCTAAGTCATTATGAAGTTAAAAAGCATTTTACGAAAAACTCCTTCTTATTTTGCTTTGGTAATTTAAATATATTGAATAGGTAATTATAGGGAATTTGGGAAACATAATATTACTATTACATTACTTACCATGTGGCTATTTTTTTTAATAAGTAATACTCATTTTTTTTGCAAACTTTTTACTTGACGATGCTAGTAACTATGATCGTCAAGCCAACGAGCACAGTGCACCGCCGTACGTCATTTTAGTCGCAAAATCAAGAGCATAACATCGCAATTAGTTCCTCTTAAAAGTATTTAAGTTATTTACGCACGTTCATGCTTATAACTGGTTAAAGGACTCAACATAATAAGGGCATTGTGATCACAGCGCGGTTTAAAAGTCCGGCTTGCCCAATGTGTGACAGTGTGTCAAACAACAGTCAACATATCACTATAATATCATTCTGTTTTTATATTTTGTACTTAGGTTTTACAATACTTAATTATGTAATTAATAATATATCAAATGTTTGTTTAGAGAGCCGTTCATCGTGTGGCGGAAGTGGGGGTTCGGAGGGTTCAGAGGGTCGTGCGTCTTGGCGTGTAACGCTGGACCACGACCTCGTGGAGACCCTGAGCGCCATCTATCCTGAGTGGTTCAAGCCCCAGCAGCGCCGGGAGCGTAGTCGCGCCGCCTCGCCGGTGTCGCCCGCTTCGCCACCGCGCACACCCTCTACACCACCTTCTGACGATACTTTTAGGTAAAGTTTTTGATATAAGCATGCCGACTGGATATACTGTGTATATCCATTACATTAGTTTCTAATTATAAGGATAGTTGTGAAACTTGTAGTTGGGTATCAGTGATACCTACTTTAATGCCGGTTAGTGATTTTCATCGCTTAATTGGATTCTTAAACTATTTTGGGCAAGAGACCGTCTTTGCCAAAATAAACTGATACCTCATATTCCTAAACCAAATTACTTTAAAATCCTTTCTCGTTTTGTTCCTATTGATACAAAATACTTATAAATTAAAAAAAAAAATGCCGTTAGCTAAGTGAGGGTATACCTGGTTCCCCGGCTATTAGTACCCGAGACGGCGTGCGGTTTTAGTCGGTTCGGGTCCGACATGCCACCGACAGGTGGTATCCGAGGGGATTTCCGCACGGAAAAAAAAAAGCTAAGTGAGTAAACGACTTCATTTTCTCGTCAAAATTTAACAAAATAAATAGACATATTAGTCAGTCTTATAAGAAGTTGGTACACGTCACACAATTTGTACAGTATCTTGAAAGTTTCAAATAAGAACTTGTGTTAAAAAATATGGGTCAATTTTTTTATGTCGCTCCTCGGAAACCGATTTTGTCCCCAAGGAGGTTATACCTATTGAAATACACCTAATCAATTTCTGTTTTCAAACTCAATTTTATTTATTTATTGCTGCACACAGTACATAGTAAATTATATTTAAGGTGTTATGAAATAAACTAAAAACATGTTCTGCCTGTTTAAGCATGATTAATTAGTCATCACAAAATAACGAATTACTCTGTAATGACTTTATATAAGCATATTAAAAAAATATTAAAATATAAAATAAATATCTACTAAACATTCTGAAATGAAAATGAACGACTCTTCATCCGAATAGTGTTCTAATAAGGACATGTGCCTAAATGTAGGTGCATTGAAATAATATAACTGATATGTGAAATGTTATTTTCGGTAGTTCTGGTGCGGAGGAGATGGCCGGTCGGCAAGCGGGCAGCAGCGGTGCCAGCGAGCCGCCGAGCTCGCCCCGCGTATCTCCTCCGAAAGTGGTTGTTGATGACAGCCCCCTACAACCCGCCATGGGAAAACACAAGGAATGTTAGTATCTTAAACTTTTATTTGGTCAGCGAATTTACTCAAATTTTGCATTGAATAGATAGGCACTTTACAGTAGAGAGACTCTAGAAAACTATATACGGATCTCTAGTAGGGCCATTGCGCCGGTTAGCGATCAGTTAGCTGGGTTGCCATCTTCAGATGAGTGAAAGAAAATGTTATCTATAATCAATATAGGATGTGTTAGTGAAAATTGGTTCCAAGTATAGTCTAGTTTGGATATAAAATGTAATAGCTTCATCCATAAATTATTATAAAATGCTGAAAAAGTGAAAATATAGCCAAAATGACGACTCATCAGTTTGCGACCACATGTGAGTTGGTTTGCGACCACTATTTTAATATGATACATATACAAATAAACTAATTATAATTGATTTAAAAACATTTTTAATTTAACCTTTTAATAAAGTGTAATTATGTATATATTTATTTTTTTACAAACTGGTTTATTCACGTTTTCTAAATAAAATATAAAAAAATTCATTATCATTACTAGTCCACTGCTGGACATAGGCCTCTCCTTAGAAAGGAGGTTTTGGCCTACAACACCACGCTGGCCAGACGGGTTGGTATAGGGTTATTAATATTATTTAACGGGAATTAACGCGATCTCTTATTTAGGGTATTACATACCCAGCCTGTGACCACGGCCGGTGCAACCTGGTCGAAACGTCAGGCAAACCAGAGGTATGTAATACCCTAAATAAGAGATCGCGTTAATTCCCGTTAAATAATATTAATTATCATGGAACGCGAAAGTTTAAAAGTTAGTATGGTATAGGGTTTGTGTCAAGTTTTCCTTCTCTCTGCAGTGCTGTTGTCCTGCGTATTCTGCTCCCTTAGTCGCCTCTTACGACACCCACGGGACGAATAGGGGTGGTGACACTCTGTATTCTTAACCCGTCACCACACGGACTAAATTACGACGGAAAAAATTACGTTTTTTTAGTTTCGATAGAAAGTTTCGTCTACTGGTTGGAGTTTGTGTTTTGTGTTTTAGAGTAGAGCATATAAAATGATGCCAAGATTGTGCCGATCGATCAGTAGTATTTTTTTTATGCAATTGTGGTCCAATTCTTAAAATCGTTTGTGCTATATCTGTATGCTGTTATATGCTATATATTTTAATGAAATAACGCAGTATTCATGGGATTGGCACTTCTATTCCCGACCACCGAGTTTTATCTTAATATTTTACATAAAAATATGAAAATATAACTAAATAATTACAAAAACTAAACGTCTGCTCTAATTAAACACTTAACTTGTCTGTACAACTTGAAATAAGTAATAAAACTTACATTGAGCGCCGCGTGCAGTTCTATTATTTCTTTAAATCATCAATGAATTACGCACCACTAAGTCGTCTCGCATATTGACCAATTTTTTAAGTGCTTGTTAGAAAATTATTTAAAAAACGCATAAGTTTTTTTTCGTTTATGTTACTTCTAAAAATGCGACTATCTTGGCTTAAAGAAACTTAGGCCCGTCTTTTAAAAGACGTCTCAAGTATCGGGTGAACACTGATTGCTTGAAACTAGTTTTAAGTGCAGATCAAAACTTAAGAATCGATCTTATTATAGAACGCGTTTTAAGTTTTACTCAGTTGAAACTAGTTTCAGGTATTGATTTGAACTTGTCTGTTCTCAATTACATGTCCGCATGGTTGTCATTATTATTCCGTATTACGTAGCTAATTATTTAAAAAAAAAAAAATGTTTTACAAACATGATTTCTGTTAATTTGTATATAGTTTATACTATTGACTAGTGTGGCAATGTTAACATATTAATGCTTGTTAATATTTTGTTGTCTTAATATTTTACATAAAAATAGGAAAATATAACTAAATAATTACAAAAAACTAAACGTCTGCTCTAATTAAACACATAACTTGTCTGTACAACTTGAAATAAGAAATTAAACTTACATTGAGCGCCGCGTGCAGTTCTATTATTTCTTTAAATCGTCAATGAATTACGCACCACTAAGTCGTCTCGCATATTGACCAATTTTTTAAGTGCTTGTTAGAAAACTAAAATAATAACTAAAATTAAAAAAGAGTTGTGCCTAAGTAGAAAATAATCAATGCTTACAAACCCGACGACATGTAACTATCTTTTTTTTTAAACAAATGTTTCTTCGTATCTCGCGTCCGTTGTTTACAATATTTGTACGTTTGAGGCGTCGAGACTTCCGGTCATGTTTGCAGATTGCAGTCTGTCCGTCTTGCACGCATGTAGAATAAACAACCTGCTTAAAACCAAATAAAGTAGTCAATTATACGAAGTGGGTTTTATAGCTCCCTTTTTATAATTATGCATTACTGTATCAAAAGACAGTATGTACAGTGCATTACTGTAAAAAGGAGTGTAAGTTTTTATTCCTTTTTAATATACTATTTGAAGTGCGTACAACTGTCTTAACAGAACGGGTATAGGAGCACGACAACGACGCCCAGTAACCCACAATATTCGGCCCAGTGGTAGTGAATGTTTCGTCTGTAATACGGTCGCGGCATAACACTAGTTTCCTTGTGCAGTGTTTATTTATATTGGCGCCGAGCCAGCGTTGTCCGCCCATCGCTAGCTGCCCGCCGCTTGTCTACACGCAAACAAGAATATAACTACTCGCCTACGCACCGCTGCAAATTTTATCGATATAATCTTTGTAAATCGATCGACGTATCGATCACGTCGATCCCTGCGCTACGTCAAAGTTCGTCACCTGTCGTCATAACACCATTCTTCGCGATGATCTATTCAATGAGCGCCCATTGTTGTATGCTAAAGGTAATGTCGGTATGCAATCGTGTAATGTCAAACGAACATACAATGTGATAGGATCGTACGGTCTGTAATTATTGAACTTTATTAAAACCATTATCGCTCCAGGAAAATATTGAGGAAAACTTAGGGTACATCAAATCATCGTTTGTTATAAGTAAACATGTTTTGATTAATACATGTGTCTTTTTCAGCTTTAAAAGTGAAGTTGATGAATCGGCGGCCTTTTAATCAGTTGGTGGCCCAAGGAATAATGCCTCGTAAGTGTTGTTTTGTTTATATAACCTATAAGTACGCGTTGCCAGACACAATGGAGTAAATAATAACATACAACTCGAGGCATGCCGTTAGATATCTATCCGGCCGATTATCCGTCATCTTAGAGCAATAAAATGTTTAATCGTTATTCGTTAGCTTTTCAATACTAAAAAGTATTTCAATAGCTTTTGTGACGCTAAAACAAACAGACACTTGTTAATATTATTTATCAAGTATGTATTCAAAAGGGGCTGTTTAATACGAGTTCGACGATTCAGTAGATGTCACTACACTCCAACTGAAATGTTGTTATCTACATATTATATTGTGTCGCTAAGTTCTGAAGTAGCTACTGTCCTTGTCCTAGTTTTATTAATTCGCCTTGCAAAATGTAAACCTAATGTAAATTAATTCAATGTTTATTTTGCTTTTTTTCAGCACTAAAAACGCCACCAGCGTATTTCGAACAATGCAAGCAATTAGAAAGAGCAAAAACAGGAGACTTATTGAAAGCAAAAATACAACGACGACCAGACCGACAAGAACTAGAACGAAGACATATCTTAGAACAGGTATTCATATACTTTCGTATTTTAAAATCAGTTCAACAAAGTTTAACTGTTTTTTCGAAAGAAGCCTATTTGTTTGTTTTTTTTTTTTTGCACTTAGAAGCATTTAAAATGTTAAAAAATACAAACCTTTATATGGAGAGGATGGACCTATCTGATGGGGATGCAAATTTCTACTTCCATTAGATATTCATCATCAGACAACAGCCTTTAATAGTCATCTGCTGAGCATAGGCCTCTCCTTAGAAAATAGGTTTTGGCCTACTACACCACGCTGGCCAGACGGGTTGGTATAGGGTTTGTATCAAGTTTTCCTTTTCTCTGCAGTGCTGTTGTCCTGCGTGGTTTGCTCCCTTAGTCGCCTCTTACGACACCCACGGAATGAATAGGGGTGGTGACACTCTGTATTCTTAATCCGTCACCACCCGGACATTACATATTAATAACAAAGAACACATATATGTTAGAATACCTATTCCGTGCTATTGTTCTCTTAAAGTATTATTTATACCCCTGAACTTATTAACACACAAAACGTTCTTTCAGGAGAGCCATGTGGATCCTAGTTTAGCTGAAAAACAGCGGATGTTGAAGAAAGCTCGCCTCGCAGACCAACTCAATGACCAGCTCTCTCATCGACCGGGCCCACTCGAGCTCATCAAGAAGAATATTCTCCACACAGAGGAGAATATCGAAACTGCTGTCAAAAGCGGCACACTCGCTTTCAAAGCTACCAGCGAAGGTGCCTCGGGGAGACCACAACATCCCTCCTCATACTGTGGTCCACCGGAAGAAGTTTCTCCATCACCATCGCCGCCATCTACCTTATCGCCCGTCAGTGTCGCTTCGCCACCACAGCACCCGGCGCCGGGCAAAGACAAAAATCGGAAGAAAAACAAACAAAAACAACAACCGAAAGGGACGAGACTTAAGTTTCACGAGTACAAAGGACCACCAAACGCGCAAAAGGCGTCCTCACCTCCCGGATCTGTGGAGACACCTTACGAGCTCTTGTTACAGCAGCAACAACTACTCCTACAGCTCATGCTGCCCGCCTCACCCGCGCCTTCTTCCGCGTCCGTCGCGTCAGACTGCAGCGATGTGTACTCAGCGCCGCCGCCTCCACCACCTCCGCCCGCACCCGCTACCCCGTCGCTTATAGCGCCCGCGCGCTTCGAAGATATGAAGGTATCAGATTTGCGTGCCGAGTGTAAAAGACGCAATCTTCGCGTGTCCGGACCAAAACCTCAGCTTATTGACCGACTACGGCCTTTCCTTTTTGAGAAGGCGGAGGAGCCTTTGCGGTCCCCTGCGTCGGTGGCCTCGATGGTTTCCGTCGCCTCCCCCGAGGTCAAGATTGAACCTGAACCCCCCGAGGATATCGTGCAGTCCCAACGACGACAGATCGAGGAGCTCGAACGAAAGCTGGAAGCTTCGCGTCAACAGCTGGAGGCGGTACGACGAGACGCGGCGGGCGCTGCCGCCAGCGACCAGAGCCGTCGCCTCCTGCAGGCGCACTTGTGCGTGTCGCAACTGCGCGCGCAGCTGGACGCGCTGCAGGCTGCACCGGCGCCGGCTCCCGCGCCTCCACGGTATGTGCTTGCTGCGGCCGACACAGCGCCCGAGCGCCTGGTTCGCCTCTTCACCGTGACGCAGCCGGCGGCCTCGGCCGAGCGCGCCGGCGATGCGCAGCCGAACAAAACTGCCAACTCCACCTACATTCTGAATGGGGTGAAAGTGGTACCCATTGCCATCCTCCCCACGGCCCACTACGAGCCGGAGCCCACGCCGCCGCCGCCTCCCCCTCCTCCGCCGCCACCTCCGCCGTTGCCGCAGGTCACGCTACCTACCGGAATTCACGATCGTACAGAGAATAGTCAAATTATGGATGATGTCCTAGAGATTCTCGTGGAAAACGGTGAGTTACCGCCGTCGGCAGTCGGTGATGCGACAGTAGCTCAAACATTGAACGCTAATTATGCTCCATCTACACCGACCACGTTCGTTCCCACGGACGTTTTAACCGACGACGTGTTAGGCGATAATCATGTTCGCGATTCTTTGGCTGCGGACGAGTTGCAGAGAGAGCTCGACGATATTCAGAACGAAATCATGAGTCATGCCGATCTCCACGCCGTGAATGCCAGTCGATGTGCGGTCGATCAGTCCTCGAACGACATCGACACGGATCTTACCGTAGATTTACTTTCGAATGGAGATTTTCACGCTGATTTCGGCTCGGATCCCAATTCGGCCGACAATGACGACTTTTTCGGCAGCCTTCTTTCCGGAGACAGTATAGATCGAAGGGATGACAAAACACATATAGCTATGGAAATCGAAGAGGACGTCCCGGAGAGAATGAGTATGACTCCTCTGACAAACGGCGACATACTCGATCACACGCGATCCGGATTCGAGTACATGGACGACCTGTCTTTACCGTCATTCCAAAACGAGGACACGAGACACGATACTTTCGAAGAGCGAGGTTGCGAGTTCGACCTGAAGGAGTTCGGCATCGACGCCGGTTCGCATATGAACGTGGACAGCGACGGGTTCGACTACATGAGCACGGAGATCATCCCGAACCTGTTCGGGCGGGGCCACGTGCCGCAGTGCGACCCGCTGCTGGGCGGCGTGCTGTCGCGGCCAGCGCCGCGGCCGGCGCGCAAGCACTACTCGTGGGAGCGCATCGAGTACGACGCCACCTGACCCGCCCGGCTCCGGGCCCGCGCTCACTCTCTGATCTCGCACCGCAGAGTGTAGCACCTGGTGTACTTTAGCGTGACGATTGTCCTTTGACCGGTGCGGGTGCTCGCCGAAGGAACTATTTCTTGTCTCCGATCGTTCGGTACACAGTGGCGAACGTATCGACGTACTAGTCCTACCCTCGTGACTCGTTCTTCCATAATGACCTATTACAAAACTAGACGTAAGAGATTAATGTTGTGAAACACAAAGTGTTTACGTTTATATACCTAGGACTTTTATTATTTATTAGTGTATGGTACTTATTACTGGTACGGAACGTATGTGTCGCTAGTTGATAATAGATGAATGATTTGTAAACTTCACTGGTGAGAGTGTTCGCGAGCGTAACCTCTCTTGCGCCGTGACGTACTTGGCTCACTTATGATAAGTCCGTTTTATTTATTATTTATAGATATAATTATTATCTACTTATGTATATATTGAAAATAATAATACTCAACATAGTTGTGGATTTCTGCATTCCGCCCGATGACTAAAACTAGGGGAAAAATTATCATAAGAAAAGTTTTTTGTTGAGACACAGTCAATCTATGAGTCACCTGGTCACGTACACATTGCGTTAATTATAATGTATAAAATTATTAAGATTGATGTTGTGTCAATTAATAAAATACGCTCGACGCTGTCCCTAGCGCATGGATAGCCATTTCCCGAATCAATAAGTCACATTCCAGTCTTGTTGAAGTGCAACATGCGGCACAAGGATCTTGTCTCTCAATAGGATTAACAGTTTTGGCAAAACTATGAAATTGATGTTTATGTTTAGTAAAAATTGAAAAATTTAGAAAAATATAGAGTACAAGACAAGATGCACATTCACAAGCCATCGTCATGGGTGGGACCAGCTTGGGAACAATGTTAGATATGATTTCATTTAGATAACTTAGGGAGCCGGCTCCATGCGTTCCAACAATTATGCAAGCATTTTCACATCACCTGTTAATCACACACTATCACTCCGTCATTTCACAATGTCATGCAAAATTATGTAATTGTTTGACTTACCTAGAAGAATTATTTTAATTATTGTAACAACATAACATTCTTAAAAATGTATCATTCCATTATATTGTCTAAAATGTAGGATAGGTGCGCCCTTATCAATAAGTTCTCGTTCATGCTATGTTATGATGCGTTATCTTGAACAATCAAATGACTGGACCAATTTCTTACGAAATTTTGCAATTTTTGTAGTTATACATACAAACAAATATTAAACAAAGTGGCATCAGATATTTAATCGTATTAGCTACCCTTAGACCTTCGCAATCTATAAATTTCACAATTAATCGTCAGTTCACTTGCATAATTGTTAGAACGAATAATTTTAATTTATTTATTATTAAAGTCCTTCAAGTGTACTTACAGATGTATTGTTTCTGTTTTGGTGTATTCATTACTATGTGTGAGTGTTTTTCTACTAACTTATTTTGTAAAGTATCACGTGTGTATCTAGAATATACCTTTTGCTTCATCAGTGACTTAATAGATAAATTTGAGAATCGAAAGTATATTGCCATTTTTTGCATTTACAATTTATTTAATTTTTGAATACTTGTTGCTACAACGAATAAATTTGGTTTTACTGCCCTCTGTGTGCCAATTAATATATTCAGTATTAGGAAGTAATAAGTTCGTAACACTCATTAAACAGTAATATGAAAGGAAATAATTATGGAGTTGTATTTGGTATGGTTTGCGATATATGAAAGGGGAATATGCGACTGTACTTTACGAATGTGTATTAAGTAAAGTATATTTGCATAAGGAATGGTGCTTAAAAATGGTGGTATTTAAAAGGTAAAATTAAAATTATGTATAATAATATAAAACTTTGTGTAATTTGTAAATGGGATTTGTAAATGCGTGGCTCTTAATTTATTATTATTATTATTTTTTATCTAAAATATCGCTAGTTTCGTACTTGAAAAGTATTCGAAAGTGTGTGGGTTGGATTCAAAATTAGAACAGGGCTCGCAAATTGTAATTTGCTTTATTATTTAAGTAATATTCCATTAACTAAGTGAATTATACGGAACGTTTACTCTAGATATAAATATATAAATTATATTTGCTCATTATCGAAATTGTACCCATATTAGTAAAATATATTGGAATCATTTAGAGGGAAAGCTCTCTTATCACCATATATATATTATTTAACAGGCCTATTTAGCTTCATAATTGCTCTTTTGCAAGAGTTTAGTTTAAATGTTTATAAAGAGATACTAAGTGAGATTAATGTTTTGATAAAAACTATATTATTTGCATATTTGTTATTATTGTTGTAATTATTTTAGGAGAGTTTTAATATTTGTTTGTATACTTAGTTATACCTGACCCGACTTTATGAATATTTTGCACTGAATACAACTAATTTTGCTCTCTTCAACAAAGATATTTCAGTAACCAATAATGTTTGTAAATGTATACGTTTTGTACGCGTGACTACCGACCGACCTTTATAATTTTGAAAGCGATATCCGGCTTAAAGCCAGTTCTGTAGCAGAGCCAAGTATTCAATATTTTTTTTATAATTATGTGATAACCACAGGAGTCGGATCTGTAGTAAAATTGGATAGTTTTTTTTTACCTTGCCCTGTATTAAAGCCTTGTAAATATTTACCAAGCCTTTATTAGAATAAGGAGAGAATGTTAATTAAAAAAGTTTTTGACACAAATATTGTTTTGTTTTCGATACTTTTTGCATCGGTCCGAATCTGTAAGTATATTATAGTAGTCACATTTGTAGATGATAATCTAATATAAATAGATAAACTTTATAGTTTTGCATTAAAAAAATGCTATTTACTTTACATACATATTTTGGGCCATGTGATTAAACATTGTACTATTTATAGTGCCCTGGTAATATGAATAATGACAAGTAAAATCGCGTAAATACCTACCATACAAAAGTTGTTTATCAAATTGATGTTGAATATTTTCTCCAGAAATACAACTACAGCTAACTGACGATAGCATGGCCATTATATCGATACTTAATAATAAATATTAACTCTAAACAACTACTACTAGTATTTCGCCAGCAAAATGTTGCCTACTTTAAGGCTTTAAGGGTTTGTCTGATACATTTAATTAGACCCCTATGTTTTATTAATGTTCCCTCCTTCTTAAATATGGGCTCCTACCCGTTTTATAGTTCACGAACATTAGACTCTGCTGGAGTAATGTTACTGTGGCAAAACAAAATTTCGTTGACTTAGCTGAATTTCAAGTATCCAAATTTGTAGCTTATAAATTGAGCCAAATGGGCGTGCAAAATCTTAATTCGTGCCCTTTATGATTTACAGTTTATTAATTAATTTTTCTAGGGTAACGTTTTGCTGGTTTCCATATCTGATAAACTACTGCACTATAATGATATTCTGTACACAAGTAGGCACAATTTGTGCTTCTTTATGAGCCATTTTTTTTCTATAATTTTGCAACACAACATTTAAAACTTATGAAGCATTTTCTCAAAAACGAAATTAGCTACAGGTTTCCAAACTAGGCAACCTATAAACCTTATGATAGCACTGATCTATATCTTGTATTTATTCGTAAAGCCGTACAAAATTTTAGTATCTTACTTAAATGCGTTAATTACCTAGTCGTAACGAATGCTGTTGCCTACAACGAGCTTATTTTGAACTTCAAATACATTCATTGTATAATACTGTTACAATGAGTTAGCGTTTACGTGAATAGTACCAATAATTAGAGCTCTATATGAAATATATATGGATTAAATCAGTTGGAAGAACCTTATAGTTCAGATAACTTTATTAAAGAACATTATAACAGTTCAGTTTTGAAGCGATTAACCGACTAAATTGATATGGCTAGATACAGCGACGGTACGATACATAGTGCCAGTTAGAGCTGTGTAGCTCCTGAGTGAGTGATATAAAAGATATATATCATTCACGCCGATAAAATGTATCACTCACTCACACTAGCTCCGAATATATCAGTAACTTACTACTAGCTCACTAGCTATTATACATGTATGTTGGGAATTGATCCACCCAAACCCACTGAAATTTACAACAATGTACCTGCCATCAATAATGATCTGCAAAATATATGTACTACATGGGCAAAATCGTTCGGGCCGCTTGTCAATCCCGCTAAATCTAAAGCTATCATTATTGGTGGCAGGTATATGTATTAGCCTTGATCACACTTCACTTCCTCCAGTGTCCTATAACAAGACTGTTTTGCCATATTCGACACAAGTAAAAAGTAAAATATACATATATATATATATAGAGTATATTTTACTATAGTATATTTTTTATAGTATATTTTACTATCCTAATTAATGTCGGTACATATTTGTTTAATTTTTATGCTTTTCTGTGTAAAGTAAGTCTCGGGGTTTTTATGGACTGCAACATGTCATGGACCACACACATTACAGAGGTGAGTAAAAGGGTTTTTGGAACATATCACTCTCTCAAACGTCTTCAAAATTTTCTTCCTTTTCAGACTAAAAACCTCCTCTCTCTATCCCTTCTTCTTCCCCTTCTTGACTATGCTGATGTTTCTTTTCTCGACGCTACCGAAGAACTCTGGGGTAAGCTAGAACGGTTACAAAATCTCTGTATCTGCTTCATAATTGGTCTTCACATTCTTTCCTCACTTCTTATCTCCGTGAGCGCTTCGAGCAATTTGTTTCCAGGAACAATCTTTGTCGCTCTTCTTCTTCTCTCCTCCTTCGAACTCCCTCCCAAACACACTTCGAGTCGTTATGACAACTCTTTTAGTGTTGCCGCTGTTCGGCTATGGAATGCCTTACCGCGTGCATTACGCAATAGCCCTTCTCTTAGCGTGTTCAGGAAGAGAACCAGGGATTATTATCTGTCCCTTCAATAATCAGACCCTTGGTATGTATGTATGTATGTATATATATATATATATATGTATGTATGTATTTAAACGTATAATATATTTTACTATCCTAATTAATGTCGGTATTTGTTTAATTGTTATGCTTTTCTGTGTTGATGTTGATTCCTACGTACGCATGACTGTGCCCTTACGTTTCTCTGTTGTCCTCTATTCGTCTATTCGCTCAAGTTCGCCTTTGTACATGACATTCCCTTGTTACTTATATATATGTATGTGTTCAGTGTTTACAATAAATAATAAATAAAATAAATAAATAAACGACGCCGATTTTTGTTTAGTAAGATAGATGATGGTTGAGTTCACGCTAAGTTTCTTTATGCAAAATGTACATTATTTTTATAGGATCAAAGTTTAACATTACTTATAAGGTAGTATAAGGAAAATCAATTTATGTTTTTAATTATGTGTGATTTCTAATATACAACCTAAAAAAGTACAAAAAAAATGTATCTTATCAAAATGATTAAAAATTATATTAAAAAAAATAGGTAAAAACAATGATATATAAACATATATTATTATAACACTGAAATATAAATATATATTATAATATGTCATTGGGTAAAAATGAAGTTCCAAGAACTGAATTTAGGTTAATATGAGAATAAAGAAAAGTTTGTATTTGCGAGAAAGGCTAAAGTGAGTGATATATACAGCGCTAAACGATCTAGACGAAGAAATGAATCAACTGAGAGACCAATCAAGTGATTTGGATCACTGAGATAGTGGGTTAAGTGAGTTAGTGAGCTTGATGAGTGATACATATCTTTCATAATATATCTTTAGAGCGAAATGATATGTATCTATCTTTTCAGGTCAGTGATACATTTTGCGCATCACTAGTACCAGTGACAACAGCCCACCTTTTTAAATTCACTCAATATGTTTCATGTTTGAGTACAGACGTTTATAAAAGTAATTATTTTTAACCGCGTCTTCATCCACTTGGATTTTTCTGATAGCGAAGTCTTCTGTGATTGCGTTTGTTTCTATTTTGGTCATAGACCAACATGCGCCGGTTGCCTTTGTTGCTCTATGTATTTTAGCAGAATTTTACTTGAATCCAGCATTAAAAAGGCCATGATATTCATTGGCTTGGATTCCAGGCGACACAACGTTCCGTTGTAAATGGCATAGTTGTGTAATTCTATTTCTCTTAGAAACCTTATATGTATAATTGCTATGAACTTAAGTTAAACTGGTATGGTTTTCATTCTCGAGCTCTAGTGGTCCAATTGAGTATAGTCATAAGCTTTAAATGCTACCTTTAAAATTACTGTCATCAAAAATATGACCATTCCTATTAGCAGTTAACTAATTAGACTAGAATGGAACAGGGGTTGTGTAAAAGGAAAGTTACATACAACTTTAAAGTCTGTTTTGCTCTATAGTTAAAACCAAAGCTTTGTACAAAAAGTATCTAAATCTAAATATTTTTATAGATGACAAACACACATCTTAAATAATATAGCAGCTCTTTACACTCTCTATTAGCATCCGTGGGACATAGCGCTTCTAGGAGTCCTAGAGATAGTATCAAGGACTTCTAGAAGCGGTATGGCGCTATGATATGGTAAGTTTATTAAATGCTGTGGCACATTATAGTTGCAAAAAGTAGGTAACAACCATCTTTAAAGATCGAGTCAGAATATGACTATGCCTAATTGTTGCAGAACTTTCTGAGTCTTTGAATCGTACACATACCATATAAGTAAAGTGTGTATAATGGAGATATCGATTCGACGATTTCGGGCTGTTTGCCATATACAAAAACTCTTGTCTTGCTTTGTCAAAAGTGAATGTCAATCAAATAATAAATGATAATACTACACTAAGTACTTACGAATTGAAGTCTATTGAAGTTGATTTGATAAGATTGTATTGTAGTAGAAAAAGGAAATCTGTCGCTCTCGTCATATCTCGTTGTTGTTTTAATATTTGTAATTGTAGACGAATTCATACTAATTTATTAAAAATAAAAAGCTCATGGGAACAGGAGATTCAAATTGCAAATCCAGTGTTTTAAAATTACCGTTGTGCATCCTTCTCTTGAGAAGCCACCGGGTAAAAATATTTAGTTATGATATTAGCTGAAACATTGTTGTTTTCTGTGAGTTTGATTGATTGTGGTGCGATATTATTTCTTTTAGTTTACTACATAATAACGCTATCCGACCTGGAGTGTGATTATTTAAATGCCCAAGAATGTTGCGATAAGCTCAATTATTGGTTATTGCCAAAATATATCGCGCATTCTTTTGTAACATTTTTATTATTGTTGCACGGTAATGTGATCCTGTTTCTCCTGAACCTGCCTATGTTTATTTGGCTAACGTTCGAATATTTCACAGTCCCACAAGGCAACTTAGGTGCTTTTGATCCAGCCGAAATCCACAACCGGGGACAGCTCAGGAAACACTTGAGAGATGTAATGATCTACATTGGTCATTATTTAATATTCTTTTTCGTTTATCTTTATTGCTTTATATTGGCATTGCTCAGAGGAGATCCTCTTCATCGCTCTGCAGAGGATCAAATCGTAACAGAAATATAGGATTGGATATCATCTCTGAATATATTTAAGATTCAGAAAATGAGTGCAGATAATATAGATGATGATGGTGCTGGGAGTGTTTCATCGGAAGATGAGAACAGATGTGTAAAGTTAAAGTTACCAGAACATATCGAGGCATATATTAAAAAGCAGGAATTACATAGAGATGTGGAACCATCAACATGTGACAGTACTTTACTGGAAAATGTTACAGCAAACTATGTAATTGCTAAGAAAATCATAAGCAATTTGACATGGCAGGACAAGTCATTATGTAAACATGTTTGTTCTATGTGGCATTCTGCTGTGAATAGTATAAAAAGGGAACAACTGTGGCCTACAGATTTTTCTGTATGTATGAGAATGAATAGTATAGAGTATGGTATCAAGTTGTTGAAATCAGGTAATTTTTATACTGAACCACTGGCTGTGTTAGTGTTTACAAACAGAACAGCTTTCATAGCAGCAACCAGATGTGAGAGTTTAATATTCCATCCTTGTGAACCTGCTTGTGAAAAGGAACATTACCGTAAGTATGACTATAGTTAAAAACAAACTTATATGTCTGCATATTATTATGTTTAGCAAGAAACATTCTGGCTCCTAGAAACTCTTCTTAATTACTTACTTAACATAATTCTAAAATCTATTCTTTAGAAGAGGTTATGAGACTGAAAAATATTCATGGAATTTCTGCCTCCAAATGCATGTATTTTCAATATGATCCATAGCTTACCAACAAGTTCACTATGATACAGTTATCTCTTTAGATCTATTTATTTTCAATTGTATGAATGGTATGTTTTATAACTCTGTGGTTTTATAAGTTGAATTTACAAAAGCATAAACTAAAGGAAATAGTAACTTTCAAATAATTCTGTGTGAAAATTTTGCTCCCTTCAGTGTATAATAATAAAATACAATTAAATATTATTTTAGTTATTGATGTAATACAACGAGAAGTTGCAGCTCCAAAAAACTGTATGGTCACTGTGAAAGGCTGCTTCGTGTCATATCTGCCTCTACCACAGACATCAACTTATAAGAATACAATCAGACATGCAATGCTCCTGGACCCTGATCCATTTCTCAGTGGAATTTCTATACCAGCCATACCCAATGTAAAGTTTACAGTCATTAATATGGCGTCTGTGAACTTAATAAAAGAGAACTTTTTTGATGTTGTGGATAAGTTAGCCGAGACTCATTACATCAAAGGTGCATTAGTTTTTGCCAATGATAGCTACCTATTACATTCAGTGGAGGATATTATTTTCTTAAATCATTTCAAAAATGTGTAAGTACTTTTTTCTGAGTATCAAGCTTTAGTGCTGTAACATTGTTATTTATTTCTTTTATTTATTTTTCAGACAGCCAAATGTTCCATTTGCTATGGGAGGTTGTATAGTAGAGGATACTATAACTGATCAAGCTGATATTACACATGTTATCAATGGACTGAATCGAGGCAAAGACTTTATTAGCCGAAATCTTATATCAATAGCATTGTTTTCAGTTCCTAGGGATATGGAACAAGATCAAAACTGTAATTTTGATATGTTTTCACTTATATTAGAGTCATCTGATTGGTCTAAACCTAAGATACAATCTTGCATTAATAAGGTAAACCTTGCATTCAATATGTAAAATAAATTAAAGTATTAGTTAAATTTGGTAATTTTCTATGACCTTAATTGTAAATGTATTCATATTTTGCAGTTCTCGAAGAGTATACCTTGTTTTGAACATAGTGTGGCTATAAAGTTCTCATGCGTGGGTCGCGATCAAAAGCACGAGTTGGAGCAGCAATACTTCCGCGCTGCTTTTCCTAACACACGACTGATTGGATGCTACGGCAACGGTGAACTGGGTATCAATCATCCTGTTCGTAATGATCTAACTGATCCCGAGGAACCGCCTAAGGCCTTAAAAATCGGCGCGAAGAGACACCGGCGAGATCCAGGTCCGCAATTTGGACTCATGTATTCGTACTCGACCATTTTTGTTTATATTGGCTGGGGAAAGATTTTGTCTCAACCTGAGTCCACTTAACGCTGAAGTAAGGCTTAGAGTTTGTATATTGGTGCCTAGTAGGGTCAACTATTATAAAACCCTTGCACTTAATGATGGTCATGTAGGACCAAAATCCTTAAAAGGTTCAACCATATATAACCACAGATAAGGTAATCTTACAAATTTATGAGTACTGTATGAGTATTCAGTCATAATCATAAAGCAAAAAAAAGTTAAATGGAATTTCTTTATTTTAAGTGATAATTTATATTATAATTGCTTTGCTTGCTTTTCACACACCACGAAACACTGCCACAGCTGGGTATCTTGACTTAAAGGTCTTAGTTACCAGGTCATTAAATTCCAAAAAAAAAAAAACAGCTGGGTATTTGTGTAAATACGTCTTTTTTATATTTCTGTTTTAAATATAGGTACATATATCATTTGTTAATTGGTGCACATGGCCACCGGGTGTACACACATTGTGAAGTAAATAAGTTTAATTTGACACACAGTAACACCAATGTTTTTTATGATACAGGAGGAATTTGCACCTAATACAAACTGACTGTAAGAAGTACCTACCCAGCAAGTTTGCATTAAGTGCTATGATAGTCGTTTGTAAGAATATATATATTCTGTATATATACAGATTGTTGCTACAAGCTAAGTATAAACATTGTCTCAATATTTAATAGAGTAGATAATAAGGGTTTGTCATAAATAATTTAAGTGAATTAACTAAAAAACGATTGACGATTCTAGATCTTTGTCTGTAAACAAATATATACAAAAATCACAAAGTATCACAATCACAAATCACACACACGCACACACGTACGCATCCATGCATATACAAATAAACACAGCGTTGACAACATTATATACTGTAACTTCAATATTGGGGGGCCTGGAGTTTTAAAATAAAGGCCAAGGCTTGGTTTAGACTCCAGATCTCCCACAAATTACCATTTAAGCCAAACATTTGACAACTTACATATAAAGACTTGTGTAATCTATGGAGATAATAAATAAATCCAAAACACAGGATAGTTCTGATTTTAATGGTTTACGCCAATTTCTAGGTTTTATATCCATGGTTATTTATAATCGATCTTTAGGTTTGTTGTTAGTAATAATAATCGTTAGTAATAATTATAAGAATTGCTAGACTAATGTACATATTATGTTGATAAAAATTATTAAACATCTAGTACAAAGTACACATAGCTGTAATAAAATCTTATTGCAATTTACTGTAACGTCAACCAAAATAAATAAACCATTCGTGTCACACAGATTATTTTATTTTTACGTAAATTATCTAGTCGTATAATTTTAATTTTCCTTAAAAGGGTATAAATCTTTACCTACCTTGTGTACCTACTTTTCTACCTACCTACTACTACCTACCTTCTACACAAAACGAACTTCGAATGGTAGGTACCATTCGAAGTTCGTTTTGTGTAAGTATATGGGATCAGCGCGACTCTTTATTATTTAGATTTATTTTACGACAGATTTATTTTTAGATAAGAGACAATCAATGGCTAGTCTGACAGGTCTGTAAACCTTGCAAAATGCCAGGCTATCATCATCGACAGCCAATACCTGATCAGAAGGTTAGATCCGATTACTCCTACCACCGAAACTTTTTAAAACGGGGCAAATTTTCCCCTAAGTTATAGCACCCTCAGCTGGCAAACCAAGGGTGTTAGCGTTAGCCAGAAAAAAACAGGAACTCTGCAGGCTTTATACAGACTAAAGAACTTTCTTCCCTTGGAAAAAACAAAAGAGAGAGAGAGACAAAAGCGATGTTGGTACAGACCTTCATTATCCCCATTATCGACTATGGTGATAATGGGGCTACTACGCCAATACTACGACCTGAATGCAGACATCAAGAAATACGACCGATTTCTGAATAACTGCATTTAATTTATTTTTAATCCATTAATTTGACTATGTTTTCTCCTTCTGCCTTGAGATAAATTGGCTCACGATTCGTCAGCGCTCATACTTCCTTCCTCATTCCACCTATCCTCCTCTGGAACGCCTCTTCGCCAGGAATTTAGAATGACACCCAGCCGTCATTACTTTAAGGCGAAAGTAAGAATGTGCTCACACACAAAGTAGCTACATGATCATTCGATTAATACTATATAATGTTATACTAATTTTGTATATGTATGTATCTATGTAAGAAACTTTGTAGGAGATATATATATATATATATATATATAAATATATATATATTGAAATATTCCATCTTTCTATCCTAATTATTTCACTTTTCGTGTAAATGTATTTCTTGGACAAGTCTTGTCGGTATATTTACTTTAAAACTTTTTAATCAAGTTTAGTACCTACACCTAATCACTTATCATTTCTACACCACCCCAAGGTAGACTGGCAGAGAATGCCTATAGCATTAGCATCTTTCACACCACCGCCATTTAGTCCATAATGTCCACCTTTGTACATTTTTTGTGCATTAAATAAAAAATAATAATAGTCTGTTAATTATACCTATACTGAAATGAATACTAATAATCGAACTTTCTGAATCTTAAAGAAGTAGGAGTAAAATGGATTTGAAACTGAGTTGCAGGCGTTCATGGCCGGCGGTAGTCACTTTCCATCACCGACCCGACCGACCGATAGACCCGGCTGCTCGTTTGTCCCCTCTTACAAAATAAATAAATTTGGTAAATAAATAAATAAGGTCAGGTAAGACAAATACATATTATTTAAAGTGAAAACTGAACCTTGAATTATAATCTGGTGCTACTGATCATTTTGCAAGCTGGTAAGGGCCTGCGGGCTGCTAGCAAATGGCTTAACTAAAAGCAATGGTGATTATTTTTGTTTTAAACCATAACTGTCTTTTTCTTTGGAGGCACCTATTTCCAACCATAGAACATCACTGTTAGGCAGTAGGTGCTACAATACTGAGATGACGGTAACGACTTGTGTTTGAAGTCGCTGCTGTCACTGTTGAAAAGTTCACTTGGATTGCCACATTAATTGAATAGGTAGGTATATAATATATTCTTTTCTATACGAATATATTATATTCGTATTCAGTGTGCGATTCTACAATAAAATTCAAAGCAAACTAAATATTAACAAATTTAAGTCTTTAGTAAAACAAAAACTATGTGAAAAGGCTTACTACACGATTACAGATTATTTAGATGACAAATTTGCTTGGGATTGATGCTGCTCACGCCCGCATTGACTATCATTTCCTATCATTGTTGTTATGCTTAAGAGTGATGGACATTTATTGTATTCTTGTATTTCGTATTTCGTTTGTTTTCAATTTGTGTATTTTTTCATTGAACTTGAATTGTATAGTTCTTTTTTGTTATTATGTACATTTTATTTTATTTTATTATTTTTGGAAAACTTACAGCTAAAAAGGAATGTGCACATATTAATAATAGCTAGTGATGGCCAATTACATGTTTTCACATTCAGCTAATTAACTTTAATAACTTAACATCTAAACAACTTACTAGTAAACTAACATAATAATCGTAAAAATTGAAAGTAACTTAATGCTATACATCGAAAAACTGGTTACACATGATCCTTTTCACTTTAGTGACAGTGGTGGTGAACATCTACATTCGGACATGTCATGTTATGTATGCGGCTGGCCCTTACTAAGTAGGCCCTGTAGTTTGGGCTTACAAAAGGAGTGTTCAGGAGGTACGATCTGAAAAGACCTAGATGGTACACTTAGTGCGATTTTGATCACAAACTCAGTCACTTGGATAAAGCCATTCATTATATTAAATAACATAACATAACATAACACACAACATAACATAACATTAAATAACATAACATAACATAACAATAAGATAAGTCCGCAATTTTGCGCCTTTCATCTAAGGGAAGCAAGTGAAATTTCTTACATCGACTGCTATAGTTGGGTAAGTAACAATTGGAACGAAATTGAATGTACCTTACAAATTTTCTCTGATTGCCTTCTAGACGATTTATATAGACGTCGTAGCGAGGATTCCACACTTGTGAAGCGTACCCGAGGTGACCACGAACCAAGGAGCAGTATAGAATTTTGATGGTTTTAAGGCTTTTAAAGTCTGACTACTACTCCTAAATCCTTAACCTGGGTGACTCTAGTTATAGGTGTATCTTTGAGAGTGTAGGTAAATATATAAAGGATTGGATTAGGTTTGCGAGAATAAGAGCATACGTAACACTTAGATACATTTATTTTTATTTTTATTTATTTTGTGTTAACTCAAGTCTATTCAAGATACAGTATACTTGAAACCTATCTAGGTCTTCCTGTAGTGAACGCGCGTCATCATTAGTCTTTATTTGCCTCATCACTTTCATTTCGTCGCCGTACAACAAGATTTTTGAATGCAAAAAGCACGAGCCAATGTCATTCATAAATATGTTGAATAGTAGCGGCCCAAGCAACGATCCTTGGGGAACGCCTGAGGGTACATTAAATGATCGCGAAGTGAATCCGTTTAACACCACAGTCTAACACCCGTTCTCGACGTATGTGAACCATCTAAAGTGATTACCACTGAATCCAATATGGGAAAGTTTAAGGAGAAGTGTACCGTGATGTATACGGTCAAAGCAAAGTTTAAGAGCAAAGTATTCCTGCTTATGCACTATTTTCTCGAAAATTTTAGCGAACACACACAACTTTGAGATCGGCCTATGGTTCTCGACTAGACTTTTCAAGCCCTTTTTATGAATGGGTGTTAAATATGCTGACTTCCATATGGTGCGCATCAAGCCAGTATCAATTGTGCGTTTAAATAAGATACAAGGAGGAACGGTAAGACTGCTGGCGCAAATCTGTATAAATATTGGTGGTATATTATCCGGGCCCGCCGACTTGTTGATGTCGACATGTTTTAGTAGTCCTTGGACTTCAGGTTCGCATATTTCGAAACTATTTAAGTGGGAATTTGATTTGGTCTCAATAAGTAAGTCACGCTCGCTGAGCGATAATAAGTCACCTTCTGACGTTTACAAAAATT